CCAGACATGAGGTGCATCACGGGCGAGTCTCCTTCAGTTCATGTGCTGGCGGGAATGAACTCTGCTGGCCTTTCATTTGGTGGAGGGGCTGGAAGGTAAGTCTTCCTTGCTCAGACCCTGCTTGCTGGGTGCTTCCTTCCTAGAGTTCCCTGTTGCTGATGTGGGGTATAATGGATGTACGTAATCTGGTATGTTAATAATGAGGAGGACGTACACTTAATTCGAGAATTGTCCCCTTCAAAGTAATCACTGTGGGATATCCAGAAATGTCATTGTGCACAATGTTTTGAGAACTCTTCTTTTGGAATTAGTCTCGAAGCCTGTGGGATGTACTTTTGTTTTGAATGCTCGCCATTCATTACCTGGAAATTTAACAAGTAGGTTTGGAAGACCAGTTAATGAGATTGTTACAGACATATTAGCCTATCTAGTGATTCACAGATGTAGTTGCTCATAAAATAGCTGGGTAATAAATTCCAGTTACTTTTAGGTTAGTATAGTGGAAATCACTGGGTGCTTCTGTTTTCTTATCCTACTGTGTGACTTAAGAATATACAGAGTTTGTTTCACACACAGTGTGGGTCCTCAGGGAGATGGGTGATATGTCAAGAGCCAGGTACTTACTATGTAATCAACCGTCTGGCAGGAGGGGAGGTCAGGTCCATCAACAGAGAGTAACCTCAGGACGATAGAGGCTCTCTCTCCAGGCTACCACCACGCTGTGGAGGTTAATAGCTTACCCTTGGTTTCCACATGGTTCTCGTCTTTGGTAACAGTATAAATGGTTTTATGGAAAGTGTTTACCCCTGGTGATGGCAAATATATTTATCGAGTTACTAGAGTTGAAGAACATTTCACAAGTGGACACGACCAGAGTAATTAAAATGTCTGTTTATTCATTTACAAACTTAGTAATATGAAAAGAAAATCTTAATTGGAATCTGGCTTGATAGAAACACAGTGCACAATGTTAATACCGCATTCATGGAGGCAGAAATGCTCAGTCCCCCTAGGTACCTGAAGTCACCAGAGCTCTTGAGAAAAATCCCATCCCCTGAAGTGCCTCAGAGGTCTTCAGCACCACAAGCTGACGCTACACAGGGACAGAAAGGGGCTGAGCGAACTGCACATTTATAAACGTAAATAAGGAGTTATAGCCCTGTACAATCATTACAGTGGCATTTCCCGGATCCCAAGAGTAGCCCCGAGAGTATTAACTATGCTGCTAGAAACCCCCTGATTGAAACAAGCTGCAGAAACTTTCTACCCCTCACCTGCTTGATCTGGGGAAGGGAGGCTATGGTGGGGTGGATGGGAACCCTCAGACTGAAATGAAGTTTCTTTTCATCTTTCCTGTCTACACCCACCATGGGACATTCTGGGGTAAGGCACGATGAACCGGGCTTAAAGGGAGGGTACTCCCAGCTCCAGTTCTTGGTGTGCAAAGGAAATCCTGGCATAGATCTTTTGAAAGAGATAATATATCCTCTCCACCCTCTTGTAATTTCTGTCCTTGAGAGAGAGAAAACCGAGAAGGCAGAAAAGGTTTGCGAAGGGTAAGAATAGGTACATCTAAATAAGAGAAAGCCCATGAAGAAATGTGTAATTCTTCAAGGGATGCAGATTCTTTGCTCAGAGAAATCAAGAATCATATTATACAATGAATAACTCTGGTGTTTAATGGACAGAAGGCAAAGACATACAAAAATATTCCGTTCTCTGGAAAAATAGTGCATTTGTAGTGATGAGGGACTGCAAATGCAAGCCCTGTGTGGGTGAGGAGGGAGCCTTACAACTCAGCACCTTGCAGTGGAGGAGGCCGAGGTGGGGGCTGCCAGAGAGGCACTGCCAGGCAGAGTCGGGGCTCACAGCTCGTTGTGGGACACGGTTAGCGCCTAACAACCCTTCTGTCAGCTACCATTTCTGCCCCTCTGCTGTGCTGCTCCTGAATCCATGTGCCTGCAAATGACTATTCTTGACTCGTGAAAATGTTCCCTTTATCGTGCTGATAAAAGCTGCTTTTATCATTTTGGGGAGGGATGTGGGTGCAGGGGGGTGTGCAAAAGAAAATGGAAACAGGAGAAAGTTCTTCAGTATTAAGCAGTAGTGACCACACCTCTACCTTGGACACTAAGGGGGATGCTTGCTGCTTATACTGGTCCGGCAGCTGCAAAGAAGATTGAACCCAGTAGCTACCCCTGAAAGTCAGCCAGGACACAGCCTTCTAGGGTCAGAACCAAGACAACAGGTTATAGAAGCTTCCCTTTTATCTCCCTTAGGTTCTCAGAGGAGGGTAAAGACTCACTCTGATGCCAGCACGTGTCCGTCAGGCAAAGGATAAACCGAGCCAAAAAGCAAAGTGAGCAGTCAGCTCTTCAGTGAAGCTAAACCACTTTTAGAAAGCTGCTGTCATTCCTGCCCCATCTGTGGTGGTGGGGGGGGAAGGGGTTAACATTTCAAATGCACTCAGAGGCAGGGTAATGGAGAAAGTGGAGTTACTTCACTTGTTTTAGTGATTTTCGAAAGAGGTAAAACTGTTGGTCTATACAAGAAGGTAGAATCCATGGACATGTCTCCTGGTGAGAAGCCAAGTGACCGGGTTTCTCCTGCAGAAATGGGGTAACTGAGGTTAATCACTGAGCTTAAATGGTCTCTGGGCCCCTGGCCTGAACGGCAGCTCTTGTATTTGGGGGTACAGGGAGGGACCCCCGCCCCCAGCAGAGCACTAGAAATGTAGTGGGAATAGTTTGGTTCTCTCTCCTGGAGCAGGTCCTGCCCATGTGGTGGTCTGTGGCTCCAACACAGGTTAGCAGGTAGTTCTTGTCCCTTGCTCTTAAATTTTCCAAATTAGAGCTTTCCTGACTTTCGTGCCATTGTTATGGACAAGCAGTGTGTCTGCTGCAAGCTTCCATATAAGACGAGTGACCACGGCAGGGCTGGGAACCAGGATTTACATGTGGCGCGAGTAAGCAGGGACTTAGCAGGTATTCCAGGGGCGGAGAGGGGCCACAGGAGACTGGCAGCCCTGAGTTTTCATCTGCTTTAGGCCGGTACACTTTGTGTTTCCAGGTTTAAAAAGAAGAGAGTAGAGCCCCTCCCTCAAGAGAGCACAAGAGGTGACGGCGGATCATTTTAGAGAAAAAAAGGACCAGCCATCGTCCAGTCTGGGAGTCCAGCTCTGAGGGATCTCTAGCGAGAGATGAGTGATCACACAAGGTAAGTGCGCGTGGCCTGACTGCCTGGTGTGCAGGGAGGCAGGAGTCACCCCCTTCAGAGTTAGGACCAAAGAGGGAAACTACCAGATTCACACTGATGATGTCTGAATTGAGCAAGAGACTTCAGGGGTGAGTGTCAAAGTGGCAGAAGTGAAATGTGTGTGTCAAGGGCCCTCAATAAACAAGTGATGCCCCAGGATGTTAACATCTCGCCAGTCTTTTTGTGACCCTTACTTATGGCTAAGATAAAATTAACACATAAATCTAGAATGTCTTTTAGATTCAACCCTAAACTTTCATTTACAAAGACGAGCGTGGCACAGAGCACGGGATACCTTTAGCACCGAGTTCCTTGGTCAGCTGGGCCCCTGCCGCTCACAGCTGAGTCGGCCCAGCGCCCAGTCCCTGCTCTCCTACGCGCATCTCCGCTGCTGCACTCTGCTTTGCAGCGGGGCAACCCGCCTGCCCCTTTCTCCTCCCTACGCAGGGGCAGCAGCTCTCTGGAAACAGAGTTCTAACGACCTAATCAATTGAGACCTCCTTGAGCAGTCAGTAGTCAAGTAGGAGTTGTCTGGCTGGGGAAATGGCAAACAGTGTCTAGAAGGAATCTGTCTGATTAAACAGACCCCAAGAGATGCCACAGCAGACAGACCCACCTGAGAATTTTAAGCTCCTCTAAAACAAATGACTCTTCAGTATAGAGGCCTATCAGAGCTAATGCTTCCAAGTTACGACAACAAAGATTTAAAATCTGGAACAGCAAAGGCTGGGCGCAGACCCTACCTCACGGGGGGCGGGGAGGGCCTTCCTGGTGCCCCAGGCCCTTTTCCATTCCAGAGACCCAGAGGGCCGGCTGGCTGGGCGGGCAGCCAGCCGACTCACAGAACGTACCCTCTCCACAGACCCCTGGGGTTACTCTGGGGGCATCTGCCTGTTCTGGGCCAGAGGAAGCCAAACATGGGAGGCCAGCAGCGCGCTCAAACTCAGAACGGCCAGCAAGATTTGGTTCCTCACCAGGATAGCACACACCCGCCCTGTTCCAAAGGGACAGCAGTGCCTGCTGAACAAGGGACAGGTGAGGGAGATGCTGGGTCGGGTCACCGAGCTCGGAGCGGCAGGAAGCAGCAGCCTTCTAAGGGCAGGAAACCACCTCGGTGCTGAGCACCTTCAGAGAGCAGACCCTTTCAGCTGGGAAGAGCAACACAAAAGGCAACATGGTTTTTCCCTTTCAAACACCGGCTTGTTTACTCAGGCCAACAAACCCTCTGAGAGAGCTGACTGAGACAGGAGGAAGATTTTAGGCCGGAGCCAGGTCAGCTGTTTGCTAGAGACCAGGTAACGTCCACGTGATGCCTCTCATGAGTGAGGTAGATGGTCAACCTCTTGCTAGAGGTATCAGGGTGCCCACCCACAGCCCAATGGAAAAGGAGAATGGTCTGCCTGGCGCAACAGCATGGGCGGGCTCGAGCACAGGGCTGATTCAGACACACAACGACCCACCAAAATGAACAGGTTGCTCCAAGAAAACTTAGCCTCAGGGAGTGGGACTCGTGCCCAGAGGCCTGTACACCACCTGCTTCCCTTGCTTCGAGACATTAGAAATCAGACTGTCATGGTTACCTACTTCCACAAGTGGAGTTTGCACCTGTCCTGCCCATCAGACACGTTTCATGTCGCCCTGGGAATCTGAGGGGTGAAGGGGTCGCTGGGAGGGTGGGTGGGATGGGAAGGTACAAAAGGGAGGAGGGAAGGAGAAGAGAGGCTGCAAAGCAAAAGATTTAAAAGCAGGTGAAGTTTAAAATCCCATCAAGGAGCTGGGGGCGGTGGGAGCCCTGCGGGAGTGGGCAGGTGGGGAAGCGAGGCTAGTGGCCATTACTTCCCGTGCAAGTCACTGAGCTCCACATCATCCTTCCGGCGCTTGTGGGTGAAGAGCGAGGTGACCGGGTAGAGCTTTGCCTTGGCCTGGAACCGGTGTCCCGCGATGTCAATCTCATACTCCCCCCGGTTGATGAAATCTGCTGTCACCACCTGTTCTTCCCCAGTGTCCTCAGAAAAATTGTGCACAAAGCCCAGGCAGACATGGCGCTCCAGGGTGTAGCTGTAGGCACTGCTGGTGGTCTTGCCCGCATACTGCCCATTGCGGTAAATGGGCTCTCCCCACCATGGCCAGAGGTCCAGGTCAGTGTCATGATCGTCCAGGATGAACATGGTGAGGCGTTTGTACACCCCATTCTGCTTCTGCTGCAGCAGGGCATCTCGGCCAATGAAGTCCATCCCCTAGGGAAGAAGGGCAAGGCTGACACGGGGCAGCCTCACTGGAGGCCACACTCACCCCCCCGTGTGGCTTTCCCACCGCATGAAAACCTGTTTTCACCATATTAAAAGACCTCAGAAAACTTCTATAAAACAGGCATACATTTTTCAGAGTTCAACCACAAGACCACATAGAAAAAAATAGGAAGAAAAATCCTCCGAACGTACTTGCTAGAATTATTTTAGAAAAACTATTTTTATATAATCTCGACAAAAAGCCCATGCATATAGGTTTGTACAAGAAACCGCAGCAGGACAGAAAGTGCGTGATTATGAACAGATAAAACAGGTGTTTAATTTTCTTCATACTTTTCCCTATTTTCCAAAATTAGTATTCATTACTTTTATAGCAGAGAAAAATCGTAATTGCTCACCGAGAAGACTGGAGGCCTACCGCCCTGCGGGGTAAGGACTGAGATTTTGTTCAGCTGCGGTGGAGCAAGCACGTGGAGGGCCGGCTGGGGGTGGGGGCAGAGCGGAGGCGCCGCTGCTGGGGAGGGTGGGTCGGTGAGGGGCAGGGGTGGGAAAGAGACTCAGCACTAACTTCCTCTTGACCTGGGACTCTTTAAAAAAAAAAAAATGTTCCCACTACTTTGAAAACCACACAAAAAATGAGCCATTTGAATACAAGAGGAGTACTGTGTACACACGTCTGTGGCACATTAGTGGAGAAGCTTCCCTGGAAGCCCAGAGTCTGCAGGAGCGCCAAGCAGGGCTCCGGGCTGCTTCAGACAGTGGGGCGTGCAGCTCCTGAGCCCAGGGCTGGGGCGGGCGGTGGGCGCCAATGCTCACAACCAGTTTCCTTATTAGGACAGACACGTTTTTCCTTCTAAGGACACCATCCTCGTTGCCCCGCGGCCACCCCTGGGCCTTCCCCTCAGCCCCTCCCTTGAGGGAGAGTCGGCGCAGGCAGGGGGGGTGGGGGGGCAGGGCAGTGGGCTGTGCAGATACAGTACCTTTTCCAGTTTCACCCGAGATTCTCGTCCACATTCCAGGGGCGTGGTGAGGGTATTTAAATCCTGACCCCAGAAGGCAAAAAACTTCTCAATCCGCAGACTACGAAGAGCATAGTAGCCGGCATTCCGGATCCCATATTTCTGCCCAACACTCATCACCTCGTTGTACACGTGCAGGGCGTACTGGGGGAAGAGACGAAAGGTCAGTGAGCTCCGCACCCTCAGAATTCAACACGGGCTGTGTCTGCAATGCCAGGGGTGGACCGCCTGCACCCTGACAAGGCAGAAGGGTGTATGAAATTCTCAAGACATCTCATCCTTGACATAACAAAGCACTACAGCCCAGGGGTCGTGAGCCCGGGTCACCGCGAACCCCCGTTTAAGCTCCATGAAAGCAGTACCCGTATCCCTTCTCTGTGGTGCCTAGGACAGGGAGCAGTCCTCAAATGCGAATCCCAGACGCACTCGGACCACCCCATCCGTGGCCAGGCCCCTAACTGCCTCTCCAACAGCCCACTCCTCTGCCACTTGCTCTCTTGCCCCACTCGCTACCCCCATGACCCCTCATGCATGGCCTGTGCTGAAATGTGGGTCACACACAACTCTGTGTACAGTCTGACTTTTCAGATGATGGCACAGCGGGAGACCCAGATCAAGTCCCAGAGGAGCCAGGAAGGCAGCGCGCCCCAACCCGTGTCCCACAACAGCCAGCCTCCCACGGCATTCTCTGCTCAGTTCCAGAAACCATAAGTATCAGCTTAAGTAAACCAAGTTTGCCAAACGGAAAGCAAATTTTCAATCCCTACCTAAACACGCTGTGTGGAATCTAAAGCCCAGAACAGTCATCATTTGCTTTAAAAACTGTTAACACAGACAAAACGACGAGAAATCAGAGAAATATCGTACAACTGCACTTCTGAGCGGAATCTAAAACCACAAAGAAACGCAAACTCACGGAAAGAGAGACCAGAGCTGTGGTTCGAGAGTTGGGAAGTGCAAGGAGGGGAAGTGGAGGAAGGGGGCAGAAGGCACAGACTTCCAGGTTGGAGACAAATGAGAACCAGGGAGGGAGGGAGCGAACCACCGGATGGCCCTGTCAGGGACCCTGCTGTGTGACAGATGCGGAAGTTAAGAGAGTGAATCCCAAGTGTCTCCATCACAAGGAACACTGCTTTAGTGCTTCTTATGGCATCTCTGAGACGAAGGACACTCGTGAAACTGAGCACAGATGTTCTTTCATGGGACCTGTCTGTCCACCAGGCCACGCGCTGAAACCTGACCAATGACGTGTGCCCATGAAAGCTCAATAAAAGTGGAAAACCAGAAAAACACCTGGCTCCCTGGTGTTGCAGTTCTTCCCCCTGGGGGGGGGGGGGGAGTCCGCTGCCCTGCCAGTCACACTCCTTGGTCTGAGTCGGCATCTACTGAACGGGCCACGGTGGTCAGGACGATGTGACCTGCGGGAAGAGCCCCTAGAAGAGCCCCCGTGCTCCCGAATCTGCACACAGCTGTGGAGTCTGTACGCGTGAGCCAGGCACCCGAATGGGGGTGGGGAGGGGGGGGACACTGACATGGCAACGAGATAAATAAAGGGCCTGCATCCCTGGTGCCTTCCGTTCAGTGCTTTCCAGTCTCAAGCTGAATACTGGAGTTAAGAGGAAGGCCAGGGAAGAAAGATTTAAAGCAGGTAACTAGTCTTGGGTTAGGTGAGAAAACTCCCCAGCATGTACTCATTTTCTAAGTGCTGGGGATTTAGTGTGAACAGAACAAGAATCTGCCATTTGCCACCATGTTTTCGAAGACATTTCCCTCAAAGAGACAAGTGTAGTTGACTAGTTCACATGGGCTTGAACTGCGTGGGTCTCACTTCTACGTGGATTTTTCCATACAGTACAGGGCCATAAATGTATTTTCCTTAGGATTTTACTAACACTTTATCTCTAGCTTCCTAGATTGTAAGACGACAGTACAAAATACATAGAGCACACAGAATATGTATCAGTCAACTCCTTATGTGATCAGTGAGGCTTGCAGTCAACAGTAAGCTATCAGTAGGTAAGGTTTTTGAGGAGTCAAAAGTTCTATGTGGAGCTCTGAGTGGGTGGGTGCCCCTGACCCCGTCATTCAAGGGTCAATTGTATAACCTTCTTGAGGACAAAAGCCAGCTTGAAAAGAACCCAGGCATGGCACAAATCACCTCTTGGGCTCATGGAAAATCATAAAAACGGGACCAGCCCAGGATAATCAGAAGTAGAAACCAAGGCTTCAAGTAATGAAGCTGCTGGAGCCAGAGCCTCCCCCTCTTCATCGGGTTTGGCCAATTTATGACACAGGCACCCAGGTGGCAAATTCAGACTCGATCCTTACCTGTACAGGCACGAGTCAACTACCTCTGTATCAACTCTTCCCAAATCGTGAGTAATCCCTTCATCTTAACATTGTTATATTTGTCTGGACAAGCACATAAAGTTCCATGGGATGGTAAATGCATGCTTCAGCTAATAACTAAAACAAAGCCTAAGGCTGTAAGTAACGTGACTAACATCAAGAACAAGACAATGATGCCTAGGATCCCTATGTCTTGTCCCAACTGGACAAGAGAAATTGTTAGGAATAAAAGTTAAGAAAAAACTTAAAAAAAAAAAAATTTAAAAAATTTAAAAATTTAAAAAAATTAAAAAAACTTACTGTGTGTATTTAAGATTGGACCCTGAAAATTCCAGGGATTCAACTAAAAAACAACTATAAGATAATTAGTAAGAAATAAAGACTACAATAGAAAAAATAGCTTTCAAAAATCACAATCACTTTGGGGTGCCTGGGTGGCTCAGTTGGTTAAATCTCTGCCTTCAGCTCAGAGTCCTGGGATTCAGCCCTGCAACCGGCTCCTGGCTCAGCTCTGCCCCCCTGCCCCTTCCCCGCCTGTGCTCTTACTCAAATAATAAAATCTTCAAAAAAAATCATAATCACTTAGAAGATAATGGAACAAAGACACCCTTCTCATTCGCAACAGCAACAACAAAATACTATAACATCTATATGAAGAAAACTTAAAAATACCTCTGAAAGGTCACCAAAAAAACTTAAATAAAAACTAAAAGGCATGGGCGCCTGGGTGGCTCAGTTGGTTAAGCGACTGCCTTCGGCTCAGGTCATGATCCTGGAGTCCCGGGATCGAGTCCTACATCAGGCTCCCTGCTCAGCAGGGAGTCTGCTTCTCCCTCTGACCCTCTTCCCTCTCGTGCTCTCTCTCATTCTAATAAATAAATAAAATCTTTAAAAAAAAAAAAACTAAAAGGCATTCTTTGTAAGATTCATCGTGTCAGTTCTTCCTAATATATAAATGTAACATAATCCAAAAAAATGCAGTGTTTCTAACTAGATAATTATAGTTTCCAGGGGCAAATAAGGAAACATGGTTTCCTTCCAGAGTTTTCCAAGTTATGAAGGAGATAAGTGCAACCAAATATTAAAATACATAATGAAGACTCAGTAATTAAAACAGTGTGATCTTGATTATGGATAGAGCAAGGGAACAGAATGGAAGCCTAGAAATAAACCGAAATACACAGAGGAATTTAGGATCTGGTAAGGGAAGAATGCCAAATCACTGGTTATCCATATGGAAAAAAAAGTCTGATCCCTATCTCATTAAGTACAGCAAGAGACACTGCAAAAGGATGGAGCATTGAAATATTCTTAAAAAACCACAAACCCATACAACAGAACAACACAACTATAAAAGCACTAGAAGAAAACTGAAAAAATTTTATAATCCTGGAGTAGAGAAGTCCCCTCTATGCATCAAACTCTAGAAGGCACAAAAGATCAACTCAATTACATAAAAATTGAAATAATTTATGCAACATATGAAACATTTCTCATAATTAAAAAAGAAACCTATGTGGCAAAAAAAAAGACAAAACGACAAACTGGGGGGTACCTGGGAGGCTCAGTGGTTAAAGCCTCCAATTCTTGGTTTCAGCTCAGGTCACGATCTCAGGGTTTTGAGATCAAGTCCCACATCGGTCTCTATGCTCAGTGCTGAGTCGGCCTGAGACTCTCTCCCCCTCTGCCCGTCCCCGCTTGTGCACACACTCTAAAATAAAATCCTCCAAAAAAAGACAAATGACAAACTGGGATACACCTCAACAGCAAGGACTGATTCAGACGATGCCTAGAAATTGGTAAAAAGACCAATCATGCAATACAAAAATGCACGAAGGGTATGACCAGAACATTCATCCATGCAACATTTATTAAGCATTTACTATGTGCCAAATACTTCGGTAGGTGCTGGGGATATAAAAGTTAAATATTCCTGCCTTCAGAGAACTTACATTTAAATAAGGGTAATCTGATGAATGAAATAAAATACATTTTATCAGACAGTGATAAGCCTGTGGAGCAAAACAACACAGGGAAAGCGGAGCAGGAGAGCTGGGGGTGGGGGTTGTGGCTGCGCCCATAAGGCCTCATCCAGAAGATGCCATGTGAACAAGCCCTGAAGCAGGTGCGGCTGTGAGAGCCTCTCTCTGGGGGAAGGCCAGGCCAGGGAAGGGAAGAGCGAGTGCAAAGCCCCTGAGGCTGGAGCAGCAGCGTGTTCAAGGACTGGCGAGCGGAAGAGGCAGAGGAGGCAGGATAAGGTCGGAAGAACGGGGATGGGGCACAGGCAGGCAGGAGTGTGTAGGTCCTACTGATGAGCTTTTACTTGGAAATGGGTTCTAAAACATCGCTTCATCTCACACACAGCAGAGCGCACTGACAGTGCTGTACCTATCGGCTGAAGGGAGAAAGTGGCGCTGGTACACACACGCACGTGCCACAGGGAGACACTCATACACACAACTTCTTGTAACAGCAAAGGACTACGAAGAGCTACAACCACAAATGTCTATTAGTACCAGGCTGATCACGTAAATTATGATTCGACGATGTGAAGGAATACTAACCACTGTTAAAAAATGAGGAGGAAGCTCTTCTCTTTAGGTACTGACTGGGAAGGATCTCTACAATAAATTATTAAGAGATCACGAAGAATATCAGTATGCTTCCAGCTGTGTTTCTAAAAAAGGGTTAAGAATGTGTTTGAACTTGCTTGCATATGCACAGAAATCTCCGACATGACCTACAAAAACTAACAGTTGTATCATTAGTGGTGGTTGGTGGGAACTGGTCAGGTGGCACGAAATCCTTCCTATAGATTCTGATTTTTAAACCATGTAAATGCATTTCCTATTCAAAAAGGAAATAACTTAGTTCAAAATGTTGAAGTCCCTCTATTGGAGCCTATCTCAATTCCCAAGGCCTGGTCAGATCCAGCTCTCCAACCCTGCCAGTGCCCAGCAGGCTTGGGAAAGCCAGCCACCTTCCTCCAGGAGGCTCACCTCTATGGGGATATAAAGCATGAATCCCGGCTCTCCTGTGTGAGTCATGCTCATCACCCGGATGCCATTTGCGTAGCCCACACTCATCTCCTGTGGAAGCAAAGGGAGAAGTTGAGTATGGAGACTCTTCAGAGGAAGTGAGCACTCCACATCTGTTAAAGTGATGACTACCTGAGGTAAACTCCTCTCATTAGCTCTGCACCCTCTGACCCTGAAGGAGATATATGTGAATGAAAGAAATGCATCCTCAAAGTGGTCTGTTTCCAAGTACTGGGGTCACCAGGGATGGAGTACTGTCTCTGTAATCTCTCTTCTGATGAATACCACTATTTCAGGAGGGCCAGCCAAGCTGCTGGTGGGAAGTGGAGGCAAAGTCTTTATAAGCATGAAACATTTTTCACAAAATCCTGCTAAAGATTTGTTAAATTTAGTCAGGGGCATGAGGAGCAACGAAGACCAGGTAAATGTCTTCTCCGGGGAATTTGGCAAGTCCTGGGCACCCGTCCGACAAAAGAGGACACCTGATGGCCACAGAACACAGTGCGCCTGCTACTCTGGGGTCAGAGGGTGGGCTTCTAATGCTCAACACGTGTTTACAGCAGCTCAATTACCGAACAGGCCTCTGACACAATCACTATTCTTACTGGCAGGTCCCAGACGGCACTGTAGCAACCTACCCCCACAGGGAGCCCAACACGACACACTACTCTGTAGGCTCACACACGTAGATTTCTCGTGCAGGAAGCAAACCATGCAGGCGAGGGTCTGCTGATGGCTAACGGTCAGTTTTCTTTTGCTTTCACTCCGCCATGGAGAAAAAGGAAAACTGTACAGTCAGTAGGTAGATCCCAGCTTGGGTTTGAACTTCCGAGAGCCTCCATCAGGAACTGTCCCCCAGCTGTTTGATACAGGTTACCAAACCACTGGTCTGTTTGGACCTCTCTTAGCAGTATTCAGCTGCTGTTTCTTTTACTCAGTTACAAGTTGCCAAATATAAGAAACTTACATAAGCTCTTCAGGGATTCACCTAAACTGCTGCTCACCTAGAGATGCCAGTACACAGAAGTTACCCTGTGAAGGGAAAGGGAGAAGCACTGCATGGAGAGGGGACCGGACCTTAACTAGAATGTTTTGGCATCCATGTCATAATCCTTTAATTTATAAAATTTAATCCACTGCTACACAAAGCAATAAATATATAGGGCTGACACTCATAGAAGTTAAATCCACTTCAAAGATATCCTAATGCTTACTGAATAGGGAGACCTGGAAGGGTGAAAAATAAATTTACTCATTTTGTTTGCTTAATGAAAACCACAACACCCTTTGTGGGCACTGATGCTGTAGTAAGAACATGTAATTGCCATCCCTATAAAAGAAATAATCCCTACTCATTTAAAAAACTAAAACTTTATTAGCACCCACCTTGCAAAACAGACTTGGGAAGTGGTCTGGAGTCATAGGGGCATAGGACAGCTCAGACAGCACATCCACAGCTCGGGGACCGATCAGATTGAGGGCTAAACAGAAAAGAACAAGAGATGCCAGTCAAGGTAACAGCTGAGCCCAAGAGCAAAGTCTGTTTTGGACTTGCTCCCTTACTGCCAGGCAGGTGTTGAGACCATGACAGAAACCCTTTGCTCAGGCAACCCAAGGATGGGCAGAGAGCACTTCCATTCTGGCAAACACACCCCTCGACAGGCCTGCTAAGTGCAGCTCCCGCCTGCTGGCGAGAGCGTGCCTGGTAAGAGGGCTGCCTCCCGCCAGGTACCCCGGTAGACAGCACCCCACAGCCTCCTCGGCTGCGACACTGGGGTCGTGCGACCACGTCCTGGCCCATGAGAGGAGCCCGCTTCCAGGCCTGGCCACGACCTCCCCGCACAGTTCCCACTGCCTCCCGCTTCCCAGTGCTGCCAGAGGACGGGAAGAGCCCACTCCCAAATCTGCACCGGGAGGAGAGCCCTGAGGAGAGCCACCCAACCACCCTGGAGTCCATCATGTGACGGCCGCTTGTGGTAACTGCACGTTAGCTGCCCTCGTGCGCTAGACAGCTTTGCTTCCACAGTCTGCCAGTCTGGTGGCAAAAAGGAAAACGTGGTTGGTGCCGTGATGAATTGGCAGTGAGGGCCTGTTGGGGACAAGTGCAGGTGTCAGTGAAGTGGGAGGGGCAGGCCTTAAACCGAGAATGTGGACTTGGGTGGGGGGGGGGCTGCTCCCCCAGAGGACTGCTGAGGAGGAGACGATCAGGAAATTAAGTCATTCCCAAAAATTATTCACTCAGTTAAAAAAAGCTAAGGGGAAATTTTGAAGAAAATAATACTTAAGCAATAAATTAAAAAATACTTTTCTGGGCACCTGAGTGGTGCAGTTGGTTGGCCATCTGATTCTTGATTTCATCTCAGGTCACAATCTCAGGGTCGTGAGATCAGGGCCCGTGTTGGGCTCAGTGCTCAGCATGGAGTCCGCTGATACATCCTTTTTTTTTTTTTTAAGATATTATTTATTTGACAGAGACAGCAAGAGAGAGAACACAAGCAGGGGGAGTGGGAAAGGGAGAAGCAGGCTTCCCGCCAAGCAGGGAGCCCGATGCGGGGCTCGATCCCAGGACCCCGGGATCATGACCTGAGCCGAAGGCAGACGCTTAACGACTGAGCCACCCAGGCGCCCTGATCAATCTTTTTTAAAGGAAGATTTATCTATTTTAGAGAGAGACAGTGCATGCACGCCAGAGGGAGGAGGGGCAGAGGGAGGGAGAGAAAGAATCTCAAGCAGACTCCACGATGAGCCTGACACAGGGCTTGATCTTCCAACCCTGAGATCATGACCTAAGACGAGGTCGAGTTGGATGCCCAACCAACTGTGCCACCCAGGTGCCTCGTCAGATAGATAAATAAAATCTTTAAAAAAAAAAAAACTTTCCCATTCATTCAACCAATATTTGCACTCCTCCATGCTGGCTACAGGGGATATAGCAGTGCAACCAAAACTAAAGCACAACTCACTCCACACCTCACTGACAAAAACGTGGGTATTAGAGATCAATGTTGTGCAACCAGAAAACCTCTTGCACACCTCTCACTCTGACCCCCATTTCTGAATGTCAAATAGAAGGCAAATGGAGAAGACAAATCTGGACAGGCTGGCCTTCTCCTGTGCAGCTGACCCCAGAGGCCCACTGACCAGTGTATTTCCAGGTGACATCCTCCAGAAGCAGGTTGCTGTCTTCCGGCATGTGTTTCTTAAGCCAGGCCCAACAGTGGACCTGCTGGTCGGTGGGGGAAATCATGAAGAAACTGAAAGGGAGATGGAGAGTAATCAAAGCCAGGCAGCAGAGAAAGGGTCAGGAAGCAGGCAGGTTAACTCATTTCAAAGCAACCAATGAGCAGAAGACCAGCAAGTGGACTCCTCGCTTTCAGAGAGGGCCAGCAGCGCCTAATTCCAGGATCTACCGCGTAAGGACAAAACAGAAGACTTGGGCTTCCTGTCGGTGCCAAGAGAGCATACAGACCTACTACTGTAAGCGAACATCTCCGCCCCCTAGGGTGACTGCTCTGTCCACGTGGAGTTTTATATAATCTGGGGTGGTTTTTTCTCTTTTCCTTCCCTTGTGATTTCCGTCTGTACTGCACTGCCAATGGACAGGCCGTGAGTGACTGAAACCTCCTTGTCCCGGGGTAATTGGCTCTGCCGCACGGCGTGGGGGGCGGCCACGGGCCTCACCTGCGCTTGCCCAGGCGCGCGATGCTGCAGTCGTTCTCATAGCCCCCGGCCTGGTTGAGCATGCCGGTGTGCACGATGTGGCCCACAGGCACATCCAGGTCGTTGGAGAAGAGGTACTGTAGGACTTCCAGTGCCTGGTCCCCGGCGGACTGCAGGGTTAGGGAACAAAGTAGACAGCGTGAGCTCCAGAGCACATGGCCGGCGACACGGTCTGACAGACGGCGTGACTGAGGAGACTCCCTTCGTCAGTCCCCGGGCAATAATGTCTGCAGATTTACTCCACCACAAGAAGCTCTAGAGAAAGCTAGCTCTTGAGTTGAATGGTAAGTGGGCCTCTGCAAGCAGATTACAACCCAGAAACAGCTGAAAATGTAGAAAAATGCTATAATACAGATAAAACACTAAAATATACCAGAGTCCTTACGGAAGCAGTTTTAAAGTAACAGATGAAAAACGGGGGGCATTCAATGAATATGCAAAGGTTCCTAATCTCTTCTTTTGGTTCCCAAGCACTTACTGTTATTTCAAACTTTGTGAAAGAAGACATGTCAATGACACACACAGCTTCCTTGCAGCACTTGACTTCAGACTCCACAATGTCAAACCAGTCTGGCTTATAGAACGTCTTGCTCTGCTCCAATGCCAGGAGGTCTGTGGACCAGAAAACAACAAAAGGAAAAGAGAAAAGGAGATTTATATTGCGGGCCCTCCATGTATAGCTTAGTAGAGTGTGACAGGTTTTTCTTATTTATTCTTCTAGGAACACATTCTAGCTATAATACATTTTAAATGGGTTTGGTTCTTAAGGCAAAAAGGAACAAAAATGAGAATGGGCCTTTTTACCCTTGTCCGGTGGCACAAAGTACTTCGGCCTCTCAAATCCATGTTTCTCCATCCACCTGGCTCCTTGTGCATCCAGCCGGTCATAGAGAGGAGAGGTGCGTAACTGCCTCCCGGTCTGGAAGTCCCAACGGGGAACCTTCAGATCGTACAGCAGAGCTGGAACAGATAGGGACAGTCTCTGCTAGCTCAAACCACAGGGCAGAGAACACAGCATCCACGAGATTCGGGACTTGCTCCTATTCACAAGAGCACGCTCTCCAGGCTAACAGGGCCTAATATAGAAATGGTACCCGGTGTAACAAGCCGGCTCCAAAAGACAGACTAAGGCTGCAAGAACTGCTATCATCCCTCCACAGTTACACAGCTGTGAGTCACAGAGCAGCTCCAGGTCTCTGTTCACAATCATCGTTTCGAATCAGTAGGCAGAAACAACGGCAGACTTCCACAGCAGAGAGCAAGGCTGCATGGCCAGAGCACATGGGGAGCGACAACATGTGAAAACATAGCGAGTGCTTCCTTACCAGGGCCCGAGTCGCTGAGACCTGAGAACTGTTACAGACCTCTCTCTCTGACATCTAACCTGTTTCCCAAGTGAAAGGGCACACAGCATACCCTGATTTGGTGGCTCTGAAATCGGACAGGTTGCATAGTCCTGGCCCAGTAACATATTCACATAACAAAGCTAGGGTCAGAATTTACTTTTCCTAGGGTCTAATCTGCTACAGCAAGATGTAAAAACAGCCAAAGTGTGAGCTCGAGTCCCGTGCACAGAGGAAACCTGACTTCACGGCCTTCCACACAAGAGGGACGGGGCGGGGGGAGGCTGACAGAGTCAAGAGAAGGGAGCCGCGCTGCTTGCCTTATCTTGTGACGATTTTTCAGTCTCCTCTCACACTTAAGGTCCTACTTACCCTTTCCCCACTTTCTGTCGTGCCTGCGATTCCCGTTATGTGAGAATCGGAGGCAGCCACCGTAAGTGTCATGTCATCAAAGAGAAACTTAAGCTCCATTATGATTTGCACAGGTTCTAAAGTAACTATGGCTGGAGAAGTCAGGACTTATAGGAGTTCAACATTTTAACCAAAATAATTGTTAAAATTAAAGAACCTTAGTGGCCACCCACCCTGCTGCCAGGCCCTCTGTCTCCCACAGACAGTTCTCTGCCCCAGGCCAGAAGTGAGCACACAGGTGCTGAAGGTTATCCGTTATCCAAAAGCCCCATCATGAATGGAACCCCCTGCTACTAAACCAACAGTTCACTGTTAATCAAGAATGGTGCTCACAGCCAATGTAGAAACTTGGCTGTGAGCATAAATATGCCCCAAAGATTTAGGAATATTTTGGCAAAGTCTCAGAATAATTATTCCTCAGTATAGGGCAGTGAAATGACAGTCTGATTTGGTTCAATTCCTGATACAAAAGCTGACCCTAAGGGTTTACTAGAAAGTAAATCAGACACAAGGCAGAGTACCAAGTTAAAACGAAGAAGCCTTCAAAGCTGGAGGAAAGAACAAGGAGAACAAAAACGTATGTTTTGTATTTACACGAGAAGTGGTTTCCTATCTTGTTAGCACGTAACAGTTAAATGACAAAAATCACTCAGAGAAGCTTGAAGCTCTGAGAATAACGTGGCAAATTCTCTGCCCTGGAAAGCAAATCATGATCTCAAAGATCAAGTAGGGAGTGAGAGCATTCACCTGGTACGGGGACTTCTTCAGGCACAGTGGAAAGTGGACAACACTAGGCATCCAAAAGGAGCTGCCGAGGGGAGGTGGACAGCAACTACCACCCGGAAGGCCTATTCTTCCTAGTCCCAGTGGTAAATAAAAGACAATATACTAAAGAGAAGGTTCCATAAATACCACATGGGGCCTAATGCCTCAACCAAACATCAGAAGCTCGACTCGGGGCAATTGGGAATGAGCTCCACTCACGCATGACTTCCATGACCCGGTGGCGCAGAAAGGTGCGGCTGCTCTGGAGGGCTCCAAAACGCTTCAGGTCCAGCTCCCAGATGTTTTCAGATGGGTAACCGTGCACCATCCATTCAGCGAGGTACCTGTTTAGATGTGGGGGAAGTTGCTAGACCTCGGATGGGACACTCTCCTAACTGTACGAGGAATCGAGAACCAACAGAAACATCCCATCTTGTCACAGACTGGCTGAGAAATTCTGGGCCATTTCCTTAACTTTTCTGAACAAACATGGACCCATCTATTACTCTCAAAACCGCTGATGATTTTAGCTCTAATAAGATTCCCAAGAAAGTGCTATAAAACAAGCCACATCTATGAAGAAAGACTAAAATATACAAATGTACTCTAATTTATCCAGCCAGTGGTTTTTTTCTGGAAAACTCTCGGAGGTTATACAACTATCTGACCACATCTCAGCTCCAAACACTTTTGGTAACTCCTCTTCCATAACTGTTTTCAGAGCCATGCTACAAGTCACTCAAGAAAAATGGCCTCATGAATAAAAAATTAAAAAATTTAATTGTGGTAAAATACACAGAACATAACAGAACATAGAACAAAAGAGAGCATAAAATTGACCATCTTAATCATTTTCATGTGTGAGGTTCAGTGGGCATTAGGTACTTCAACACTGCTGTGTGACTGTCACCACCATCATCTCTCCAGAACTCTCCCTCTTCCCCAACTGAAACTCTCTCCGTGAAGCCAGCAGTCCTTCTCCACTCCACTGCCCCGGCCCTAGCAGCCACCCCGGCACTCCAAAGTAGCTCAGAGAAGTGCAACCACACAGTACTTGTCCTTTCTGACTGGCTGATTTTAATTAGTAATTTTTTTAAAAGACTTGTATTACTCAGCATGATCATAGGTCTCACTCACAGTACTTACTGTTTCCAAACTCAAATGTACTCAAAGGATCAACATTTGTAACCACTGCAAAAGCCAAAAAGTACATCTCGTGGGCTCCGAGACTAATTCCAAAAGAAGAGTTCCCAAAACATTGTGCACAATGACACTTCTGGAATCACTGTATCCCACAGTGATTACTTTGAAGGGAACAACTCTCAAGTTATGTGTACCTCATTATTAACATACCAGATTACATACATCCATTACACACCACATCAGCAATAGGGAACTCTAGGAAGGAAGCACCCAGCAAGCAGGGTCTGAGCAAGGAAGACTTACCTTCCAGCCCCTCCACCAAATGAAAGGCCAGCAGAGTTCATTCCCGCCAGCACAAAGTAGCCCTGAACTGAAGGAGACTCGCCCATGATGCACCTCATGTCTGGGGTGAAGGTTTCGGGGCAGTTCACCAAC